CCCCCCCCCCCCACTGCCTGCGTGGCCTCTCAATGCACCCGTTGTTCCATCAACAAGGGATGGTGTGCCATGATAGCCAGCCACCAGCAGATGGCGACCTCACTCTTGGCACACTTAAAGGCACTGTGGTTAGAATGAAGGTCTCGTCCGCGGTGCATGTCTTTCGGGGGTGGGGGGTGGCAGTACGTGACAAGAGATACGCGGTACAACTATTACAGCGTCAAAGATGCTTCCGACATACAGCCTGAAGTAACTCGACAGTCTGCCTGAGACAAATTCAGCAGAGAGTATGTGGTTTGTGCTTTGGTGACAGCAGCTCATGCACTGAGCAGCCCCACAGCCTCACAGCTCCAGTATTTAATGGCAGCAGCATGCTAATGTCGAGCCCGTTTTGTGTGGCCGGTCAGAACAGCCCGTTCCCCTGGCCGGCCCGTTTCGCGTCATCCACCCCCACCAGCCCACCCCCGGCGTCCCGTCTAGCTTGCGGTGCCGTCAGCCCGCTCACGGTGGGGACACAAAGGTGGCTTTGTAACCGCCAGACAAAGTGTGTTTCCTGGCACTTTTCTGACCGAATCTTAATTTCGGACCGGGGCACAATTGAGCAGGAACAGAAGAGAGGCCCGGCGAGACGATGCAGCCATTTTGGTACAGAAGCCTTGAGGCTGTGAGGACTAAGAGCCCACTCGGGGTGAACCTGCAACAGGCCTGTGTTAGCGGCTCCCACAATGCATCAGTGCACAGGCTAACATGAGCTCAGGCTTTGGACCCAAGAACGGAAGAACGCCAGATCTGAACAGAGGAAATACGGCATCAGTGAGGGCAGATCAGCAGGCAGAAGATAGCAATGATAGTGGTCAGTGAAGGTCTCAGGTGGGGGTAAAGCCAGAGAAGCACAGAGCAAAAGAAGACAGAAAGCAAGGGAGCAGGAGCACTGCTGGCTGAAAAAGGGTCTCGTTAGAAGGTAGCTATAACAACATTATAAAGCCCAAAATGAGAAAAATTCAGACCTGTGTTGCCCATCATACCCAAGCTGGGGTAGTCAGAGGCTCATCCACATCCACCTTAAACAGCAAGGAAGGGTTCTTACTAGAGACGGATCTTCTGTCTCTGGGCTCAAGGAGCCTGGGAAGGGCTCATTGTCTTGGGGGAGGTCTTCCTCCTCCTCCTCCTCCTCCTCCTCAAGCCCCTCCCCCAGTGAGGGGAACACACCCAGCCCCCCCACCTCGTCCAGGCTGTCTGTGAGTGCAGCCAGCAGGGCTGCATTTTCCTCTTCAATCTGCAGGGAGAGGCAGAACGCACCTGTCATTTCCACGGGGCACCACACCAATGGAGGGCAAGGGCCACCCCTGGATCCAACTGATCCAGGAACCACATGGCATGGTTCAGTCCCAACGAGATGCTGAAGGATCCCCAAAGTCTGTTTGAGCCTGACCATTCCGATGGTAACCACAGAAACTGAAACCAAGAGATTTTCTCATATGCTTTAAGAAATGTTTATTTAAAAAGATAAAAGCAGCACCTACGGCTGTGGTCTGAACAAGGTGGCTGCCTTAGTTGTTTGAATGGCCTTACTTTGTTTATCTTGGTGCATTTCTTTTGTTATCTAAAATGATAACACCATTTGTTGTCATATATTTAAATTACTAACCTTTGCCAATAAGTAATGCTTCTAATTCCGGCCGGTAAAACACTTTGAACTGAACTGAGAGAGAGAGAGCGAGAGAGAGATGGGCATAACCACCTTTACTCACACAAAGGCCATCAAATCACTCAGGAAAAAATATAGAGGGAAAGACAGAGATAGACGGTTAGAGAAAGAGACAGAAAGCAGAAAGGTGGGGGTAGGTAGACAGAAAGGAGGAGGAGGAGAGAGAGAGAGAGAGAGAGAGAGAGTGTAACTGAGAAGCAAGGACAGGCTGTACTGCACTCCAGCCTCACCTCAAAGAACTCTGGGTCCCCGGTGCTGTACTGGGTGGAGGTGGGGGAGCCATCTGATTGGTCGTTGTACCAGTGCAGCTCGTTGAGGCAGCTGACAGAGTCAAAGTCACTGGCGTCCAGCTGAGAAAGGTCAATGTCGGAGAAGTCCACATCCAGGCGGTCCGAGCTGACCTCTCCTTCCCCGTTCTGCAGGAGACGGAGGAGTGAGACAGAGGGTGGCGGGTCAGTCAGTCTGAGACGACAGGCCCCATTTATCTGGGACGACTGCGGTCTGCCAACGAGCCATCAGATGGCGCGGGGCAGATATGTGGCACAGCGCCGCGTCTTTCGGAGACCTGTTGTGGTCACATGGCTCTACTCTGGAATGCCAAAAGCCAGTGTTTCTCATCCCGGTCCTCGGGGACCTCCAGACAGTCCACATATTTGCTCCCTCCTAGCTCCCAGGACAACCGAACCAAACGGTCAAGCAATTAAGAACGCAGAGAACCTGGAGTGGCTGAGGGCTGTGCTGAGAAGCACCACCATAAGCCATAAGCCATTTCAGTCATGCTAGGGAAACGGCCCCGGAAAGCAAGGGACTGGTGCCAGCAGAGAGAGTTGATCCCCTGATCCCATAGGGACCTGATCCATCAAAGGGTCCCTCACCAGACAGACAGAGTCCAGAAGGCAGCAGAATAGCATGACAGCAGACAGAGTTTTTGATCCATGAGCACACACACACACACACACACACACACACACGCCCACACACCCCCCCAATGACTGTGGCGGGAAGCCCGGCACTCCAGTTGGCCATAGCTGGCGGTGGCTCCGAAACTCGGATGCCGACGTGTCTGCGAACGGCCCGCGTTTCTGAGGCGTGAAATCGAAGCGTTCCTAACGGCCTTGGGAATGGCCGCTTGCCAACGCGATGTAATGTAAGGCGGCAACTCATTCGGGCAGGAAATGGAGGCCCTTTTGCGAGAGAGCACGTACACAAGGCCGCTACCGCCACTCTCCAAAGCCGCGTCTATATAATCAGAGTGGCGTTCTTCAGAGCACCTTGTTTAATGGAGTGTGAGATTAGCTTATCACCAATGGCAGAAACTCTCATAATTGATTGTGCCACTAGTACAAATCATTCTTTATACTTTTTTTGTTTGCCATGGAACTTGCCTGCTTCCGATGGCCGCTATTCACAGGATAATAAGAATTCTTCCCTATAGCTCCACCCCCATATCTCTTTACTGATTACCTAACCCAGACCCACAAGTTCAGAGCCACACCACCTGTCCCATCCAAACAGCTTGGGAATAGTGTGGTACTACTTGTGTGTCATGTGACTGTGACCAACAGCATGGCCTCTTCAGCCATTCCCCACAGCCCCAAGGAGACACAGTTCATTAAGCCCCATAGTGACAGGTGTCTCATTCCATGTGGGTTTTGTCCTTTCGGGCCTGTTTTACTTTGTTACAGAACACCTCACTATCAATCAATAAATACATCCTTGGCTTCCAGAGGTTCGAGGTCACAGGGATGTGCACAAACACACACACGTGCAGGGCTTTCTGAAAAACGCCACCCCGCATGACTCAGAGACCTGGGACTCATCAGCAGGGCCATCCCAGGCACTTAGTTCAGCTTGGCCCACCACAAACACCCCCATCCCCCCCCCCACCCGGGTCTTTGACCACATCAGACAGCTCGGGGAGTGAGTGGTAAGCATTTCATCAACCTCACCACCTCACTCGGCACACCCAACCCAGATGCCTGCCTCAAAACCACAGAGGACAGGCGCAGAGGAGGATTCCTGCTTGCATGTGAGCCGAAAAGGCAGCAACGGCGAAGAGACAAGGAGCAGGAGATCGCAAGCCTCCAAAGTGATGCCTGATGGGCCTTTATGCCGAGCAGCAGCAAACAGAACACAATCTGAAGACGATGAGGACAGTGATTCATTCTCCACGCTGAAGCGCTCGGCTGTGATTCATCGGGATGCAGACCTCTCTGCAGACACGTTCCGATTTCCTCCGAAAGAAACAGAAAATACCTTTGCGACACTGCGAGCAGCAGAAGACCTCCAATCCCCAGAAGATGAGAGATGGTTTTTAGACCTTAGCCACAGGAGGAACCTTTACCCCAATTCCATCATTTCTCCTGACTCTTTCAGGAACTTTGTAGATATCAGTCCTGTGGATATTCAGTGATCTGAGAAGATGCAGCCAGGGGATGTGCAGGTGGAGGTGGAGGTAAAACTCACCAGCAAGAACCAGGGCTGACCCAAGATATCTGAGATGAAGGAATCTCCAGCAATGCAGGTCCTGTCCCCCTGCATTCTGCATGAACTTCCAAAACACAGACATGCTTTATGTTCAGGAAGGTCCATTCATGATCAGAAAGGGCACAGTGCCAAGATGTCAATCTGCTTAATGTCTATGTATAGCCTGCGTGAGAACAAAAGCCAAAATGTTCCCCCTCCCCCTCCCGGCAACATCAGCTGTTAGCAGCCCTGATCGAGGCCTACTACTAAAGCTCTCAGTCTCCCAGGACAGAGAAGAACCACACACACACTTCTAATAGATACCACCTCCACACTGATCGCACCTCGATCGGCATCCATGTTCGACAGGAGTCCCGGCCAATCTAAGGACCACATAGATGCAGCACCAAGGCCGTGGTGGGGGGGGGGTACACTTCTCATTTGGCACCTGAAGGCTTTGCAGAAACACAGATTTAACAAGCTCCTGGCCTATTGGTTTATCTCAAACACTTGTCAGCTAATAGGCTCTTATCTGGGTGTCCTGGTCTCTTTGAGCTTGCTGCTATCTGAGGTACGTTTTATATATAGCCATTATCCCTGGTCTCATGACTGCTTCTTACACAAGCTGCACATGATGGGGGGGGGGAGGCAGCTTCAGATCTGTCTGCCAGACACACATGGGCATTTCTCTCCGTTACCTCACCGCTACACACACCAAGCGCTCAGCTGAAACCCAAGCAGACCACAGCTGTCCCTCAGACCACTGACTAACACCTACAGTGGAACGGACCCTCAACCCACTGAACATTCACACATCTCCACCTGCCGGTACAGGTATATGTGGGTTTTGAGAGGAAGGAACAAGAATTCTCCCGATATCACAGGTCTGCCGCCGTCACATGACACCGGGCTTCCGGCAGCCAGAGAGATCGCAGTTACCTCCCGGGAGACAGACAAAGCCAAAAGAATTCTCTGCTGGATGGGAGTTAATGTTAGCAGGTCCTGTTGTTAGCTGCTGCGCTTCTATGGAGTTATCAGGTTTCTGTGCTGCATTAAGAGTTTTCCTAAACCTAAATTAACCACGGTCATGTGGAAGTAGGTCAGTTCGAGGCAGAAGTAGGACAGAAGGTCACAGATAACCTCCGAACAAGCATGCAGGGGAAAAAAAATACCCATTAGATCGCAGCTTGATGACAGTCTTCTCATGGAAAGAGCCGTGTACAGTGCCTCCAGCGAGTTATCCAACAGTGGAGCACGGTGATTTATAATACAAGCACAGGAACATGAGCGGCCGAGGCACCGCCCATTCCGAGACGCCTCACCCGATTGGCTCAGGTTCAGGCACGCACCTTTCCCGACTCTGCCCCAGCAGGTTCTGTGCGGACATACCAGACATGCATGTGTAGGAATAATAAAAAAGAAAAAGCACAGAAGCTCTAAAGGCAGAGGTAGAGCAGGGAATTACTGCTCCGTTGCTGAGGTAGGTCCCTTATGTCACGTTAGCGCTTTATGGAGAAACAGACATTGATGAGCGATCGTACTTCCGGTGACCTGGTTGTTCGACAGTGGCTTGGCAGATGCTATGTGGCAGCAGGTTGTGCAGAGCGTGGGGAGGGAGGATGAGGAGAAACAAGGTGGACAGCTCAGGTCTTCAAAGGGAGGCCTGCTCTTGTATCCTTACACAGAAGCACAACCACACAACGGGAAAGACTGATTAATACTAATAACATGAATAATGCCTTTCAATCATTTAGTGTGTGACCTGGTTTCTTCTGAAGAATCCAGAAGAAGGATTCAGGATTAAACCCAGATTAGCATACTGCTGCTGTTTGAGCCAGGCCACCCGTCATGACCCATGTTCTCCGTGGTGCCTCAATGGTCTAAGCCCACCTGGCTGCCAGCTCCATCTCGAGCCAGAACCCTGTAACAGAACCCAGGAACGAAAGGTCACCCAAGATTCTACTGGTGAACCAAAATTATATTTCTTCGCTGGGTTGCTTACTTCGCCTGTGTGCTCTGCTGCAATTAATGTTAATCAGCTCAGGTTAATTATCTCAATAACAAGACACAAGCCATCCTGGTGCCCACAAGTCCTAGATCTTTAGCCGTGACACCACCTGTTGGTCCACCTTCATAATGTCAGTGCAGCTGGGCTCAAACCTTCCTGGCCCTTGCAGGCACAAACTACACTGTTAATTCAGCCTTATTACCAGGCACTTTGGTGCAGAAGCTGAGTCCACATCTTCCAGGGTATCAAATACAAGTCAAGGACACAGGAGAGGCAGCGTGATCATTAATATGCAAGGGGGGTAGGACTCACCACAGAGACGTGCCCCCGCCCTCCCTGCCTTGTTGGGCAGTAATGGGATCTGATACGAAAGCAGCTACAATACCGGGAAAAGGGGGTCTGGTCTTCTGCCAGTCCATCAAGATGAACACAGATGAAAATAGGTTATACATGAAAGAGACTGAGGCACCGGTGTGGTTTGTCCCTTTTATCTTGCCGTATGAAAAGAATATGACATCCCTGTGTCAGACGGTCATCCTGTCTCTCAGTCAGGGCTCTATATTAGCCAGTGGGCAGTCAGTATGCACTTGTATCCTGAGCTCTCCTCCCAGTAGCATTAGCTCTTCCCTGAACCTCACTCTGCTTTTGGAATGGGCTGACAAGTCCATCAAAGGTGAATGGGGGGAGGGGGCAGGAGTGGGGCAGATGATTGCCTGCTTCAAATCAGCCGAGTCTGAGGCATCCCAAACAAGCAAACGCACCCAGGTTAGCCAGCCCCACTGGCTATGTCCACCAAAGGGCACTTTTCCACTGCACCAGGTGCCGTACTTCAAGAAAGTACCAAAAGTACGGTACTTCAAGGTGTTGGTTTTCCCCTGGCATAAATACTGGTACAGCAGCTGAATGACAACACAACGGAGGTGTGGCATTTTGTACTGAATT